ATTGAAAAAAAATCAGCATTATCACCCGGTACACCTAGAAGGATGTTCACCTTCTGGTTTTGTGAAAGACCCTTCCTCCTCTATCAGTTTATTTCACATGTAGTTACTGAGCCTGGCTTGTGATCTTTGCTAGATTCTGAAATTCAAAGGGAATAAGCACTAGATTTTCCCTATAGAAGTGACCCTCTGGCCCTAACCAGTTTGGCTCAGTGGATAGAGCAATGGCCTGCGGACTGAAGGGTCCCAGGTTCGATTCTGGTCAAGGGCATGTACCTTGGTTGCGGGCACATCCCCAGTAGGGAGTGTGCAGGAGGCAGCTGGTCGATGTTTCTCTCTCATTGATGTTTCTAGCTCTCTATCCCTCTCTCTTTCTCTCTGTAAAAATCAATAAAATATATTTTTAAAAAAGTGACCCTCTGGCTAGGGAAACTGACATTCAAACCCTAGTTTCTCACAGGTGTGATGCCCATACAAAGTGCGGGTAGAAAGGAAGATTTATGTCCCATAGGGCAGCTGGGAATGGTTTCTAATATATACATGGTTACGCTTAATTTTAATCCTCACCTAAGGATATTTTTCCATTGATTTTTTAAAGTATACTTTTATTAATTTCAGACAGGAAGGAGGAGGAAGAGAGAGAGATAGAAACTTCAATAATGAAAGAGAATCAAAATCGGCTGCAACCTGCACACCCTGAATGGGGATAAAGTCAACAACCCGGGAATGTACCCTTGGCCAGAATCAAACCAGGAATCGAACCCAGAATCCTTCAGTCGTCGGGACGCTGCTCTATCCACTGAGCCAAACCGGCTAGGGTTCCATTGATTTTTAGAGAGAATGGACGAGAGAGGGAAAGACAGAGAGAATATCAAATATCACATCGATTGGTTGCCCCATCGATTGGTTGCTCTGAACCCGGGCCTTGTTCGGGAAGGAGCCTGCAACCCAGGTATGTGCAACCACTTGACCTGAATTGAACCCGTGACCCTTTAGTCCTCAAGCAAGCGCTCTATCCACTGAGCAAACCAGCTAGGCATCCTATTTACCTTTATAAAAGTGAATGGAATCAGTATCTGGTATGCTCAGTGGTTAGAGCATCAGCCTGCCAGACAGACGATCACCGCTCTCCCGTTAACCAGGGCACCGAGGAACACCTTAGGCAGGTGGGCGGAGAACCTCAGTGCAGGAGTCTCTGGGGCCTCCCATTACAAGACTGGGGCGGGAAGAGGCGCAGAACCCAGAGTGGTGACTTCAGCCCCGCCAGGGACGAAATGATTGCCGCCCGGGCCTGCCTGGCTGATTTGCGGGGTAGAATTTTTGGTCGTGTTCACGGGCTTCAGCTGGGAGTTCAGCACCTTGGACAGAGGCACAAGGTGTTGTTTCCCAGAGTGGCCACAGGAGGGCAGCAAAGGATCATTTTCGCGCGGTGATGTGCTGACAGCGTCCTTCCAAGTCTCCTGTAAGAAGTATGTGGATCCCGAGACGTGTGCAGTATAGTAAGTCACTTACTTGAAGGACAGTGCATATATGTTCTACATGTTTTATTCCTGCGTAGGATCTAAAATAAATTATCCGGATGCCACCGGAAGTTTGTAAGTAGGCACAGGGAGTGCATGAGCATATACACACATAAACGGCTACACCTTTCCCTGTGTTTGTTAAACATGTCTCCAACGGTCATATCAGGCAGGGTGGCCGGGTCACGTTAAATAGCACCTCTGCCCAGCAGTTCCGCGGGCCTCCTTTGCTGGTCTGGGGACGGGGGAGGTGCAGAACCCCGCCTTGCTGTGTTTGTGCACGGTTCTGTTTTGGTTTGTTTTATTTTCTGGGTAGAATTCTTGGTGAGGATCGCATGGGAGACAGTTGTAATTCCAGTGCCCTGAAAAGCCAGGGCAGTAGGGGGCAAGCATGTGCCTCAGGGGACCTGCCAAGTAGGAGGAGAGGTTTCCCTGGAGGAGCAGGTGAGCTGGGAGGCGGTGACTGGGTCCCCCCTTTCCTCCACACCCTCCAAAGGGGCAGTTCTGGGGTCAGTGCCCGTGAGTGTCCCGAGAATCTGGGTGACGGGGAAGTCTCCCTATCAGAGACAACGAGGCAGGCAAGCATTTGTCCTCCCGTCAGACTTGGCCCAACCTGGTTTGGAAGCAGAACCAGGGATTTCTGCCTGGAATTAAGATCAGTAATGTAGACAGAGACAAAGCGGTGGCTCTCTTGAGAGGCTTGTGTGAGGAAATGTTGACTGGGACACGATTCTCTTCACGAATTCTGTTCCAGGGTGTGTGAGCCCATTCTTTCCAGCTGTATTAGTGACTTGCCCACCCAACCCCAATTGTTCTTACTGTACCCCCTTTTCTCTAGCATAGTTTTCCAACCTGGAGTGTTAAAGAGATGACATCGGACGTTCACCTTTTGTTTTTGTGAAAGACCCTTATTTCTTTTAAAAAATATATTTAATTAATTTTTTACAGAGAGGAAGGAAGAGGGATAGAGAGTCAGAAACATGGATGAGAGAAAGACATCGATCAGCTGGCTCCTGCGCACCCCCTACTGGGATGTGCCCGCAACCAAGGTACATGCCCTTGTGCGGAATCGAACCTGGGACCCTGCAAGTCTCAGGCTGATGCTCTATCCACTGAGCCAAACCAGTTAGGACAGGACCCTACTTCCTTCACCAGTTTATTTCACATGTAGTTAACCGAGCCTGGCTTGTGATCTTTTCTGGAGTCTGGGAATTCATAAGTGAAAAAGCACTAGTTTCTCCTTATAAAAGTGACATTTTGGCTAGGGAAACTGACATGCAAACCCTAGTTTCTCACAGGTGCAATGCCACAGAAATGCCCATACAAAGTGCAGATAGGAGGAAATGCTTATGTCCCGTTAGGGTGGCTGGGAATGGTTGCAAATATGTATATGGTTACATTTTATTTTAATCTTTACCCGACGGCCTTTTCCCATCGATGTATAGAGAGAATGGAAGAGAGAGGGACAGAGAGAAATATAAAATATCGATGTGAGAGAAACACTTTGATTGGTTGCCCCCAGTACAAGCCCAGACCCAGGACCCAGCCAGAAAGGAGCCTGCAACCCAGGTATGTGCCCTTGACCTGAGTCAAACCCGCGGCCCTTTAGTCCTCAAGCCAGTGCTCTATCCACTGAGCCAACCGGCTAGGTCTCAAATTTACCTTTTAAAAAGTGAATGGAGCCCTAACCGGTTTGGCTCAGTGGACAGAGCGTCGGCCTGCGGACCGAAGGGTCTCAGGTTCGATTCCGGTCAAGGGCATGTACCTTGGTTGTGGGCACATCCCCAGTAGCGGGTGTGCAAGAGGCAGCTGATCCATGTTTCTCTCTCATTGATGTTCTAACTCTCTATCCCTCTCCCTTCCTCTCTGTAAAAAATCAATAAAAAATTTAAAAAAAAAAAAGTGAATGGAATCAGTAGCTGGTGTCGCTCAGTGGTTAGAGCATCAGCTTGCCAGACAGACACTCACCCCTCTCCAGTTCACGAGGGCACCGAGGAACACCTTAGGCAGGGTGGGCGGGGCACGTTCCTGGGAACCTCAGTGCAGCAGTCTCTGGGGCCTCCCATTACAAGACTGGGGCGGGAAGAGGCGCAGAACCCAGAGTGGTGACTTCAGCCCCTCCCGGGACGGAATGATTGCGGCCCGGGCCTGCCTAGCTCATTTGTGGTGTGGGGTAGAATTTTTGGTCGTGGTCACGGGGCTTTAGCTGTGACGACAGCACCTCGGAGAGAGGCGCAAGATGTTGTTTCCCAGGGTGGCCGCAGGAGGGCAGCAGAGGATTATTTTTGCGCGATGATGTGCTGACAGCGTCCTTCCAAGTCTCCTGTAAGAAGTATACGGATCCGTAGACATGTGCCATATAATGAGTCACTTACTTGAAGGACAGTGCATATATGTTCTACATGTTTTATTCCTGCGTAGGATCTAAAATAAATTATCCGGATGCCACCGGAAGTTTGGAATTAGGCACTGCTAGTGTATGAGTATGTACACACATAAAACAGCTACACCTTTCCCTGTGTTTGTTAAAAATGTCTCCAACAGTCATATCAGGCAGGGTGGCCGGGTAACCTTATGGGGAACCTCTGCCCAGCAGTTCCGGGGGCCTTCCTTTGGGGACGGGGGGGGGGGGGGGGGAGCGGTGTGCAGAACCCTGCCATGCTGTGTTTGTGCAGGGTTCTCTCTCTCTCTCTCTCTCTCTTTTTTTTTTTTGGTTTGTTTTATTTTGTGGGTAGAATTCTTGGTGAGGATCGCATGGGCGACAGTTGCAATTACCGTGCCCTGAAAAGCCAGGGCAGTAGGGGGCAAGCATGTGCCTCAGGGGACCTGCCAAGTAGGAGGAGAGGTTTCCCTAGAGGAGCAGGTGAGCTGGGAGGCGGTGACTGGGTCCCCCCCCTTTCCTCCACACCCTCCAAAGGGGCAGTTCTGGGGTCAGTGCCCGTGAGTGTCCTGAAAACCTGGGTGACAGGGAAGTCTCCCTATCCGAGACAACGAGGCAGGCAAGCATTTGTCCTCCCGTCAGACTTGGCTCCGCCTGGTTTGGAAGCAGAACCAGGGATTTCCGCCTGGGATTGAGATCAGTAATGTAGACAGAGACAAAGCGGCGGCTCTCCTGAGAGGCTTGTGTGAGGAAATGTTGACTGGGACACGATTCTCTTCAGGAATTCAGTTCCAGGGTGTGTGAGCCCATTCTTCCAGACTGTGTTAGTGCCTTCCCCACCCCCAAATCTTCTTACTGTACCCCCCTTTCTCTAGCAGACTTAAGAGATGACACAGGATGTCCACCTTCCGGTTTTGTGAAAGACCCTTCCTCCTCCATCAGTTTATTTCACATGTAGTTACTGAGCCTGGCTTGTGATCTTTGCTCAATTCTGGGATTTCCTGAGGGAATAAGCACATGATTCTCCTTATAAAAGCGACCTTTTGGCTAGGGAAACTGACTTGCAAACCCTAGTTTCTCGCAGGTGCAATTCTACAGATATGGATTTTTTTAAAGTATACTTTTATTGAGGTATGGAACTATGATAACAATACAAATGAGTCATTTGAGACTAAGTCATTAAGAAATTTGCCCTAGGCCACACCATAACAATCAACAGAGCCAGTCTTGAAACCATTGGTCATCTGATTTCAGGATTCTTTCTCTGCGCTTCTGGTCAACACCAAGGCCCTCACCCAACCTCAGGTAGAGAAATAGTGGGAGAAGCCAGGGTCTGGAATCTGAACACTCACATTATCAGCTTGAGTAGGTCACCCCGATGCCGGTTTCATCATTTATGAGATTGGGGATGTCATCTGCCCAGCTTGCTTTCCAAGGCTCCATGACATGCAAGGACTTAGGACCCAGGAATGTGCTCAACAAATGCCTGTTGATAGGACTGATTTACAAGCATAGTCGTTGATGGATTTGTATGTGTTGAGTTGGTATTTAGGGATCGTTTTATGAGTGATAGTTGAAACTGATGAAATAAAGATGGATTCTTCCCACAGATAAAATGGATGTTGTTTGAAGAAGGCAGTGGCTGTCCCATCACCCTGCTCTCCAGGCTCGGGGAACAGTAATTGGCACCTACAGAAAGAGAGGACATCAAAGACAAGTTTCCCCTTCTGAACACAGAGGGGCATTGACCGGCGATGATTACAGACTAAGCAAAGGTAAATCCACTTGAATGACAGGGATTTCCTGGAGGTTAAAAAAATAAGATCTTGTCTAAAAATACACCAGCATCTTCATATTTTTTTAAATTTTTTAATTAATTTCAGAGAGGAAGAGAAATAGAAACATCAATGCAGAGAGAGAAGCACCGATTGGTTGCATCCTGTGCTCATGGAATGGGGACCCAGCAGGTGCTCTGAAGAGGAATCCACCTTGACTTCCTGGTTCAGAAGTAGACACTCAAACACGAACCATGCCAGCTGGGAAAGGTATAATTTTAAGACACTAGTACAATCTTTCCTGACATTAGCGTACCTTAGCATAGCATGGTTTAGAAGAGTGAGGGAGATTAGACCTTCGAGGACCTCACCGAGAGTATCTTAGCTCAGTGAGGGAGAAGAGACCTTTGAGGCCCTAGCAGAGCTAAGCGTACCCTAGAGGAACACAGGTTCGTGAGGAAGATGAGACTTTCAAGGACCTAGCTTAGCTTAACCCAGCACAGAGTACTGTAGGTTAGTGAGAGAGACTAGACCTTCGAGGAACTACCTTAACCTACAGTAACCTTAGGCTAGTGAGGCACGACACCACTGCAGACCTAGCTAAGTTTAGCATTACATAGAATAGCAAAGGGACCTTTGATACCTGCCTAAGGATAGCTTACCCTGGAGGAGCCTAGGTCACTGAGGCACATGACACCATGGCAGACATGACTTAGCTTAGCCTAGAGCAGTCTACTTAGGGAGGCAGAGGAGACCATTGCGGACTTAGCGTAGCTAAGGTTAGGCTAGAGTAGCTGAGAGATCTCAGAGGACCTAGCGTAGCTAAGTTTAGCTTAGGCTAGAGTAGCTGAGGGAACTTAGAGGACCTAGCTTAGCTTAGCTTAGCCTAGAGTAGCCTAGGTTAGGGAGGCAGACGAGACCATTGCAAACTTAGGTAGCTTAGCTTAGGCTAGAGTAGCTGAGCGACCTTAGAGAACATAGCGTAGCTAAGATTAGCTTAGGCTAGAGTAGCTGACGGACCTTAGAGGACTTAGCGTAGCGTAGCTTAGCTTAGCTTAGCATAGAGTAGCGAGGTTAGGGAGGCAGAAGAGACCATTGCGGACCTAGCATAGCTTAGCTTAGGCTAGAGTAGCTGAAGGACCTACTCTAGCCTAAGCAAAGCTAAGCTAAGTCACAAAGGTTTCGTCAACCTCCCTATCCTAGCTGTGCAATGGTCTCGGCTGCCTCCCTAACCTAGGCTACTCTAAGCTGAGCTAAGCTAGGCTAGGTCCTCTAAGGTCCCTCAGCTACTCTAGCCTAAGCTAAGCGAGGCTAATCCTGCAAAGGTCTCGTCAGCCTCCCGAACCTAGGCTACTCTAAGCTAAGGTAAGCTAAGCTAGGTCCTCTAAGGTCCCTCAGCTACTCTAGCCCAAGATAAGCTATGCTAAGCCTGCAATGGTCTGGTCTGCCTCCCGAACCTAGGCTAGTGTATCTAAGCTAAGCTACGTCCTCTAAGTGTGCAGCAGGCTGCTATTCGACGTTTCTAACTCTCTATCCCTCTCCCATCCTCTCTGTACAAAATCAATAAAAATATGTTGAAATAAAAGAAGATTGCATTTACCGTCCTTTCAAAATGGGAATAAAAGGCGTTGCCTGGCCTGGAGTAGTTAGTGTCATGATTGGGGGGGAAAAAGTCAGACAAGGTCAGAACGCTAACACATGGGGTTCCCGTGGGATTTCGCACCCCGTGGAGCCGCCTCTGCCAGCAGCCGTGGGGACTTTCCACACCCACAGGGAACACAGTTTCCCATGCAGAGGGGGTGTGGTGGGGGATGCGTTGATGCACATAACGGTGCACGCAGGTCCCCTGACTCGGGCCAGCCAGGAGGGTCGCGTGGGGGTCCAGGCCAGGGTTTGGGTCTGGATTATTCAGGGGCAGAGTGCTGGGCGCCCCAGCAGCCATAAGATGCTCCAAGCTCGGATCAGGCGCGGCCGGGGGCGTTTGGACTGTTTTGGACTTTCTTTGCTTTAAAACATGGAGGCTGGTTATTCTCTCAAGGTTTGTGAAGCCCTAGACTTCCAGTTTGCAAATTTATGTATGTAACTATTTAGTTAGTTGTAAAGAGAGACTGGAACAGAGAAAGGTTACTCACGTGTCCTCAGCTCCCAGGGCCCCACAATGTACCTGGAGGTCACCGGCATCCTGTGACTTTGCGTTGTCGCCTCCTGCCCCACCCTGGGGTTCCTGGTTTAGAGGTCTTGGGGAGAGAAAGAAACATCAGTAATGAGAACCATGGATCGGCTACCTCCTGCACACCCCACACAGGGGATTGATCCCAGAATCCGGTTCCTAGGTTGGTGTTTCACCACTGATTCATGCTGGCTGGATCTTATATTATTATTATTATTATTTTTTTTTAACAAAAATGTAACCTTTTGCATAGGAGCTGGGGCAGTCTTAGCTGCTCGAAGCTGCCCCACTGTTAATGTCTCTGGCCTGGCCTCAGGCTCACCCGCCTCCCCCATCACTCAGGCCTGCTTCCCTCCCTGGTACCCCTTCCCACTGCCTTTCTGGGGATCCCTAAAACCTGGGGGTTTGAGGGCACCAAAGGGAAAGGGGATGGGAGGGTGGCTTTTTGTTAAAATGTCTCCTGCCAAATAATTCCATAGACACCATTTGGGGGAGGGTAGACTTTGCCCACCCCTCTCCCATCTCAGCCCAGGACTTGGGCTCCCGATTCCTGCCAGGACCACAATTCCCGCTGGGCACCAAGTGGGCCACGAGTAGACAGAGCCGCACCGCACCCTGCATCAGCACACCCCACCCTGTGTCAGCGGGAAGTGACTCCCCCTCATTCCCAAGCACAGGCCCAGGTCCCCAGGTGCTGGCGGAAGCCTGAACCCTCCCCTCCCCTCTTCTCCCCTCCCTTCTGTGCCTAGGTGGGGCCGTGTTGCTATGATGAATTTACTAAATCTCCTCATCATTATTTTAATTTGTCTCGAAAAAAATAGTTTGGGCGGCCTGGCCACTGTTTGTATGTATCCATCTCCCCCCATCAAACCTGTGTTAAAACAAATGTTACTTAAGATAAACAATCCAATCAAAAAATGGGCAAAGGATCTAAATAGACACCTTTTAAAAGAGGACATTCAGAAAGCCAAGAGACATATGAAAACATGCTCAAAGTCACTAATCATCCGAGAGATGCAAATCAAAACAACAATGAGGTACCATCTCACACCTGTCAGGCTGGCTATCATCAACAAACGGCAAGTGCTGGCGAGGATGTGGAGAAAAAGGAACACTCGTGCACTGCTGGTGGGAATGCAGACTGGTGCAGCCACTATGGAAGACAGTATGGAGTTTCCTCAGAACACTAAAAATGGAACTCCCATTTGACCCTGTGATCCCACTTCTAAGAATATATCCCAAGAAACCAGAAACACCAATCAGAAAGGATATATGTACCCACATGTTCATAGCAGCACAATTCACGATAGCTAAGATCTGGAAACAGCCTAAGTGCCCATCAGTAGATGAATGGATTAGAAAACTGTGGTATATCTACACGATGGAATACTATGCTGCTGTAAAAAAGAAGGAACTCTTACCATTTGCAATGGCATGGATGCAACTGGAGAGCATTATGCTAAGTGTTAAATAAGCCAGTCAATGAAGGAAAAATACCACATGATCTCACTCATTCATGGATAATAAAGATCATTATAAACTTTGGAACAATAATAGATACAGAGGCAGAGCTGCCTCAAACAGATTGTCAAACTGCAGTGGGAAGGCCGGGGAGGGTTGGGGGGCCGGAGGGAGTGGGGTAAGAGATCAACCGAAGGATTTGTATGCATGCATATAAGCATAACCAATGGACATAAGACACTGGGGGGTAGGGGAGGCCAGGGTATTGTCAAGGGCAGTGGGGAAGGAGACATATGTAATACTTTTTGTAATACTTTAAGCACTAAAACAATAAAAAACAAACAAACAAAAAAAACCCCAAATGTTACTTTTCTCTCTCCTGGACACAGACCCTCCCTTTCTGATGGAAAGAGCTTTGCATAATTACATATCGAAGCCAGAACAGCCACCTCCACGTTTTATGGGTCACAAACCATCCACAATCGCCACATTTCTGTCCAGGAAACCTTAGTCCCTTCAGTGACAGAGCGGGCTCCCCAGGGCCTAGTCCAGAACTGGGAGGATGGAAATCTCTAAGAACCCAAGCCCTGGCCGGTTTGGCTCAGTGGATAGAACGTCGGCCTGTGGACTGAAGGGTCCTGAGTTCGTTCCGGTGGGGGTGGGCACGTGCCCAGGTTGCAGGTTCAAGGTCGTGCAGGAGGCAGCGGATCAATGATTCTCTCTCATCATTGATGTTTCTCTCTCTCCCTCTCCATTCCTCTCTAAAATCAATAAAAATATACTTGAGAAAAAAGAACCTGAGATGATGTGGCCAACTGACCACGTGTTTACATATAAAGTTCAGACCGGGTGAGAGTGCCACTCCCTTCTGAGCCTCAACCTCTTTCCTAGCTTTGTCCTGCGGTAATTAAGAACTTCTGATTTAAACAGACAGCTGCTCTGGTCACTGAATAATATTCGCTCCTTTGATGTCCAACTTTTGACAGTTGTCACACCAGCCCTGGGCAATCTAGCACACATACCTCCTCTGAAAAAAAGAAAGCAAGCAAACCCCCATGGCTTTGAAGAAATCTAATGTGTGATCCTTATCACCCAATGATGGAAATCGCGCCCACAGGCCGCCAGGCTACCCATTACATTCGGTTGTTACATAATGGAGCCCAATTGGGGTTTGAGCTCCTGCAGGCGGTATCGGTGGCCCCTGAGAAGGGAGCCCACAATTTGGGCGCCCTCTTTCCCTGCCTCCGAGCCCAGGCCCAGAGTGGGAGGGAAACCCGCAGAAAGTCTAGAAGGTTGGGGCAGGGATAGAGATCGCAGGGTGGGGGCAGGTGCCCCTCGTCCCAGCCTGGGGAGCTGGGCAGCCCCAGCCACCTACACCCGCGATGACACGACACGGACACGCCGTCGCTTCCCGAACTCACTCGCCAAATTTGGGGTGCGCCAGATGGCAGGATGACCTCCGCGTCTGTTACGCTATGTGTGCGCGCGGTGCGGGCTTGGGATGGAGAAAAGACAGGAAGCCCAGGGACCACGCTGATTCCCCTAAAACACGCTCCCTGTGCCCGGGCCCTTCGGCAACCAGGGTCCCCGCCACCCCCCGCCCTGCGCGGCCGAAGGAGGGAGGCGAGAGGAGAGAAGGGGAGTGGGCAGGAGAGTTGGAAGCGAAGGGGCAGGGAGAGCGGGCTGGGAGGATGCGGCTGTGAGGGCAACAGCTGGAAGGCATTGTCCCGGGAGCGACACCTGAGGCCCAGGGACGACAGGGGCCACGGTGTCCCGGATCCGAGACGGGAAGGCCCGCCCGCACCCGCCTCAAAGGGAAACCGAGTGGCGGACTCACCCCGTGGGCTGGCCGACCGCACAGCGGGCTTCCGCTCTGGTCACCGCCGCTCACACCCTCACACAGGCCGACCTCCCCTGCGCTCGCGCGGCCAACGCCTCCGTCGCCGTCCAGTGGGAGCTGCGAGCATCCGGGGCTGCAACCGCCCGCCGGGACCAGGGACCGCGCCAAGCGGAAGAGCAGAACCTGGTCGCGGCCGAATGACGCAAGGGCGGCACGCGCAGACTCAGTACAGCGCGGCGAAAGCCCCTCTCGCACCCGCGGGCTGTCATGCCGACTTCCGGTTTCTTTACCTGGCCCTGATTAGCGGGCTTGGGGGGAATGGGCGTGCCGAGGGGAGCAGTATAGCAGGCAATATTTTGTAAGATAACGTTCCCTACCAAGTGATCAAAATCACCTGTATTTGCTGCTTACAATGCGAACACCAAAGCGGGGTCAGTGTGTGAAACTGCACTTTGAGCAGCGACCTTAGGGATCCCATACGGAAGCCGTCACTCAGCGGGCCAGGGGCGGGGCTATAGCGGGACCCGGAAGACAAGAGTATTTGGAAACGCGGAGAGGCGGGACCAACTGCGGGCGGGGCTAAGAGCTGGGGCACCGCTAAGGCAGAGCCCGTATATGCGTGGTGTCGGACAATGCCGAGAGGCTGGACCAGGGCTATAGGCGGAACCAAGTACTAGTGGGCGGGACTAGACCTGATGCCGGATATTCCGGGGTGGCAGACAACGCGGATAGGCTAGACAAGGGCTATAGGCGGAACCAAAAGGTGGAGGCGGGACTAAGCCAGAGTTCGGATATCCGGGGCTTGCAGTCAGCACCGATAGGTTGGAAGAATGGAATGGGCGGGAACAAATGGGTATGCAACAACGCGGATAGGCTGGTCCAGGGCCATAGGCGGGACCAAGCGTTACGGGGCGGGACTAGATCTGATCTCGGATATCCGGAGGTGGCAGACAACGCCGATAGGCTGAACCAGGGCTCTGGGCGGGACCAAGTGCTGGAGGCGGGAATAGACCAGATATTAGACATTCGGGGGTGGCAGACAACAAGGATAGGCTGGACCAGGGCTGTGGGCGGGGTGTGTTTGGGAACGCAGGAGAGCTGGACTAATTGCTGGCTTGGGGGCGGGTACTGCAGTGAGGCCAGAGGGCCCTAGCCAGTGGGGAACAGCGGTGAGGTCAAGCACTTGGGGCGGGTGGGGCTCAGGTTGGGCCCCATTTGGTAGGGAGAATCCGGGAATAATTGCAGGTTGTGGTTTTTTGCATTCTGAATAAAATTTATAGCAGACACTTACCATAAAGCTGTGATTCTCTAAGGTGAGAGCGTGCACAAACTTTTCCTTAGTTCTTATTAAAATTCAGTAACTTTGCCCTGGCTGGTTTAGCTCAGTGGATAGAGCGTCAGCCCGCGGACTGAAGGGTCCTGGGTTCAATTCCAGTCAAGGGCACATGCCTGAATTGTGGGCTCGATCCCCAGTGGGGGGCGTACAGAAGGCAGCTGATCGGCGATTCTCTCTCTCTTTTTTTTTTTTTTTTTTATATATTTTATTGATTTTTTACAGAGAGGAAGGGAGAGAGACAGAGAGTTAGAAACATCGATGAGAGAGAAACATCGATCAGCTGCCTCCTGCACATCTCCTACTGGGGATGTGCCCACAACCCAGGTACATGCCCCTGACCGGAATCGAACCTGGGACCCTTCAGTCCGCAGGATGACGCTCTATCCACTGAGCCAAACCGGTTTCGGCAATTCTCTCTTATCATTAATGTTTTTCTCTCTCACCCCCTCTACTTTCCTTTCTGAAATTAATAAAAATATCTTAATAAAAAAAATTCAGTCACTTTACTGTGAAACCCCAGAATTTGAGCTTTAACAGGCACACACACATCCCACCCCACCCCCAACACCACAAACAACAACAAAAGCAACTACAAGAACAACAACAAAACAAACAAAAAATGTTAAACCAGTGATCCCTGGTCCTGGTTGGGGCAAATGGCAGGAGGTAACCAATCAATGTGTCTCTCTCACATGCATGTTTCTCTCTCTGTCTCTCTCCCTCCCTTCCACTCTCTAAAAATTACTGAAAAAATATTCTCAGGTGAGAATTAACAAAACAAACAAAACATGAAACAAAAAAGAACACAATATCTAGCTAATATGTCTGTCGGTGCCATTTTTAACCAGACACTAGTGTGTGCATGTATGGAGATAAATATAGATACCAATAAAGATGATTATATGTGTATTGGAGGCCCGATGCATGAAATTTGTCCACGTGTAGGGTACTTAGGCCTGGCCAGCGATCAGGGCCCATCTGTGGGGCAACTGGCAGGGCGATCAGGGCTCCTGCTCGCACCCACCTTGGCCTGGTGCCGCCCGCCCACCTGCTCCACCATCCTGCCACGTTCCTGCTCTCATGGAGCGATGCCCGTGGGGCCGGCAGTGCCTCCACTGCTGCCCACTGCCAGTGCCTTGTCACCGATGCCCACCAAGTTCTTGGTTGCCCCCTGGTGGTCAGCACACATCTAACTCCCAGTTAGTCTAACTCCCACCAGTGGGGACAATTATCATATTAGCCTTTTATTATATAAGATATACTCACATATCAGTGCCTAGTTAAAAACTTCTAGCTACACATATACAGTTTATTTCAAATACTACCCCAGAATAAAACGTGTATAATATATATATGATGTCCTTCAAGTACGTTACTGATTATAGTGTACACGTCTATGGATCTATAGACTTATTACTCTCAGCCAATTCCTGTGCAAACATGATCTTCTGCTGCCGTTCTGTGGCCATTCAAGAAATAACATGAGAGCTGCTGTGTCTCTGTCCGCAGTCCTGAGCTTCCAGGCGCAAATTTCTGGCTCTGCTTCAAAACCAGGCGGAGCCAAGTGTGACTGGAAGACAAATGCTTACATATCTCATTTTCTCTGATAGAGAGACTTCCCTCCCCACCCAGGATCCCAGGACACCCACAGGCACTGACCCCACAGCTGCCCCTTTGGAGGGTGTGGAGGAAAGGGGGGATCCTGTCACCACCTCCCAGCTCACCTGCTCTTCAAGGAAAATGTCTCCCCCTACTTGGCATGTCCCCTGGCATGTCACGTGGTTGCCCTCTACTGCCCTGGCTTTTCAGGAAAGTGGAGGTTGCACTGACCCAGTGGTGTCAAGGACAGTGAGTACTTTTCCCAAGAAGCATCTCCATTCAAGTGCTACCACACCACTCTCCTCCCGATAACCTGGCAGTATGAAAATTTATAGAGTATATATTCTGGCATCAGGTCATACAGATATTTTCAGAATAGCAAAAGGTAATTTCTCAACCAGGTTCTCAGCCCTGGTAATCTTTCTGATACACCCGAACAACACTTTCCAAGGGAAGTAAAAGGGCAAAGGGATTCTTTTAGTCCTGGAGAGTCCAGTCATGTTTCCAAGGAATGATTTACACTGACCTTATAGAAGCCTTAATTCCCCTCCCTCATACCAACACAGTGTTTTAACAAATCCAAAGTTTAATGATCAAGAATTACAAAGTAATTTGGGCCACAGAGTCAAGCAACCCAAGGCTGGGCTTCCACTTTATCCCTACCAAATGGCCTGCAGAGGTGAGGAGGAAGGAGACAGGCAAGATGAGATGGCATTCTGGTCCTATCAGAGGGGCCTACATGGTCATGGGAAGGGGCAGACATAGCACTGGGACTTTGAGAGGGGAGGTATTCACAGAAGGTGGGGACTAGGTTGTCAAACTTTGTCTTCTCATAGTTTTCCAGAGACTCCTGCAGAGAAGGGAGCAGAGAGATCCTGTCATCTGAAACATTCCCTGAGCCCTCTATATTCAGGGAGCATGGGTCTCTGTGTTGTTCTGCCCCATCCCCTTCTTTCCCCAGCTTTCTGTTGCTCCCTACTCACCATTCCTCCACTCTGGCCATTTTCCTCCTCATCAGAGTCCAAAACCAAGTCCCCTCTGGTCATGACAGGGCTGCACAGAGATGGAGGACACACTGCAAGAAGGAAACCAGAATTAAGTACTCTTCTAGATGAACACAGGCCCTCAAGAGTTCCAAGAGAGGAGGCTGTCTGATCCCGTCCTGACTCAGTATGCAATCTCAGGGGCTCCATGGAGCAGTCCCAGCAATTCCTGGGGTGGGAACAAGCAAAGAAGAGAGGATGAAGGGAAAGCAGGCAAGGACTGTGCTGCTAGGAGGCAGAAGCAACTGTTCCACTCACGCCTTTTGCTCCGAGGCAGACAAGTCAGCTGGGTTCTCCTTCACAGTCTTTCCACCCAGGGTCTGGGATGGACTCCTAGACTTTCCAGTGGAGGCTGCTTTCGTGCCCACATCACCTGCTGGAACTGCTGTGTGTGTCCCTTGTTCTTTCCTGTTCTGGGTTGATATATGACGTAGGTTGGTGAACTCCAATTCCTAAAGGGGAATAGCATGACTGTGGGGTGCTCTTTATGGCCTACCCTCGTGGATGTCCACTGGGCGTGGGTTTTTCGCTGGCCTAGAGGAGCCAAATTGAAGTGGTGGCCAGCCAAAGGTTCTGGGTGCTTTCTTGAGGCTGGTCCCTGAGGATGGTGTGGGCCAGAGTTGCTTTTTGGCACAGGTTGATGGAGTGCTGGTCTTGGTTGCTGAGGAGGACTGGGCTCCATGGACTCTGACATGTTCATTGAATTAGTCACAGAGCACTCTAAAAAGAAAAGAATGTTCCTTATAAAGAGAACAGAGAGTAACACATAAACTCAGTCTGGTTTCTTGGGTCTCAAGCCCATGTAATCTTTCTAATGAGCTGGCTGTCTCAAAAGATCTCAGGCTACATATTCCACCCCCAAATTCCTAATATTTCCAGATGGTCCTGGTACCTGGAAGTGGCCACCCCATGTCCACACTATATTGGCTCAAAGCAAAAGAAGATGTGATAGAAATCCCAGGCTGCATCCAGCTCAGCACATCCTGAAGCTGTGGGCAAGGAGAGAGCATGAAGACCACAGTCCTTGATCCAATCACCCTGCCCTCTGCCCTCTGAGTTTTGCCCTAGGAAAACCTGCTCTGTGTGGGGGGTAGGCAGTGCTTTTTCCAGCCGACACAAGTATTCAAAAAATAGCTTTTCCATGGCAGCTAGAAAGGGCTCCCCATACTCTTGTTCAAGTTCCTGCCAACAGAAAAAAACCTGGTCAGAAAAGAACTAGAAAAGAAAGCCACATTATAGTTTCCAAAATTCGCTAGTCTCACCAGCAACTTCCAATCCAAATCCTCAGGGGCCTCTGCCAGCAGCTTCACCTGCTGGCGAAAGGCTTCCTGTGCCTCGGAGATGATCTTCAGATCCTGTTCTGTCTGTTGAAGGTAAAAAGGCAGACAAGTTAGAGGCACCAAGGATTCACTGTGGGTGGGGACTGTCCCAGGGATGACTCACAGCTTTGGGGTCCCGCACTACAGTAGGTCCAGACACTGGAAAGTGGAGATACAAGGAATTCAGAACGTGGGCCCAACGCCGGCCCTGGAGGATCAGCTCCACCACCACCTGTGAAGGGGACTGAGCTCAGAATTCCCACTTTGGGGTAGGTTTCCCTTTTGCAACGCTCCCAACCACAGGCGGCCTGTCCTAGTCTGATCCTTGCATCCCGCCCCTTCCACTCTGCCCGTTCCCGGTCCCAGGGGCTCTCATACCTTGGCCTTTAGGCCCATGCACAGGCGCTCGTGGTGGCGGTAGCGAACCAAGCCGGGAGCAGCAGCGCGCAGGCACCGCAGAAACTCCAACACTCGCGGAAAGTATTCCACGTAGCGTCCGCGCACGGCCCTCCAGCTGGCGGCGGCAGCTAAGCGCAGGGCAGCGGGGCCAGCACCCGGAGGCGCAGCCATGGCAGGCGCGCTCCGCCGCGGGGCGGGGCTCCGCTTCTTTCCTCCCAGAGGCTGTCTGACCCCCGCCCAGGGGCGCGGCTTCCGGTGGCTCTCAGAGGCTGTCTGACCCCGCCCAGGGGCGGGGCTTCGCTTCTTTCCTCCCAGAGGCTGTCTGACCCCGCCCAGGGGCGCGGCTTCCGGTGGCTCTCAGAGGCTGTCTGACCCCGCCCAGGGGCGGGGCTTCGCTTCTTTCCTCCCAGAGGCTGTCTGACCCCGCCCAGGGGCGCGGCTTCCGGTGGCCTTGGGAGGCTCGGCGTTTCCGATGGGCACCCTATGCTTTGCGACCCTCAGCGCCCTTCCATAGGCCGCCAGAACTTTGTAGGTTTTCTCCAATTTGGGCCGGAGCCCGGGTGAAGAATCTAGCGGCTCTAATGGTACCAGGACGCTCGCTCTGCCTTAAACGGCGCCGTCGTCTCGAACCCAAGGGCTACCGCGCTTCCGGCCCTGCCACCACTTTTTCTTGCCCTGGAAAAGTGCGATAAATGGAAAACCGACGGGTCACCGCTGGAGGAGGCGGGGCGGGGGAACGCGAAGGCGCGTCAGGAAGCCCCGACCCGCCCTCTCCGTCAGATCCTCGGCGGTAGCGTGGCCCCTTCACAGCCGGTCAGGGCCCTCTCGGCCCTGCGGCTCTTGGCAGACGTGCATAGAAGTAACGTCCCTCTCTTTGAGGCTTGACTTTCTATTCTGTAAAGCCGGATCATGCGCCTTGTCCTCTCCATCATCATCACCCACGGAAATTCCTTAAATCCCAGGTCTCCAACCGGCGCTGCATCTCCCGGTACTGAATGACTGTCTCATTAATGGCGGCCTTCAGGGTAGGACTGCCGCGATCATGGCCGCCTCCAGGCTACTAGTTGCCTCCGTAATTTCGGCCTCCAGGTACTGGCTGCCTCAATACAGGCGGCCTGCAGGTTACTGGCTGCCTCATTAAGAGCGTCCTGTTCGGTACTGGCCGTTTTCGTTAGCGGCGGCTTCCCCTGTACGGACTACCTCAATAATGGCGGCCTCCATGGTAGGGCATGCCGCAAGAACGGCGGCCTCTCGCGAGAACGCTGAGTCTCGCGACACTCCAGCACCTCGCTGTACGGACTGGCCGCCTCAGTAATGGCAGCCTCCAGGTTACGGACTGACACCGTGAACGCACAGGTTCTGATGTCAGTGCAGCAGCCAAGGCCTCCCTTTGCAGGGCTGGGGCGGGAAGAGGTGAAAAAATCCAGACCCATGAAAATAAAAATCCAGAACCATGGAAATAAAAATCCAGACCCATGGAAAAAAAAAATCCAGACCCATGGCTTCAGTCCATCTAGGGACGGAACGATTGCCGCCCTGGACAGCCTCCATGATTTTGTGGGGTTTTTTTGTTTTGTTTTGTTTTCCCCTGGTTAGAATTTTTGGTCGTGTTCACAGACATTAGCTGGGGGTTTCAGCACCACGGACAGCAACACAAAGGTGTTATTCCTTGAATGGGCACAAGAGGGTAGGAGAGGATCGTTTTTGCACAGGAATTGGCTGACAGCATCTGTGAGGTTTGTGTAGTAAGTACACGCATGTACCTTGGTTGCGGGCAGGGAGTGTGCAGGAGGCGGCTGATCGATGTTTCTAACTCTATTCCTCTCCCTCCCTCTCTGTAAAAAAATCAATAAAATATATATTTTTAAAAATTTATCTTTGGGCCGAGGCCGGTTTGGCTCAGTGGATAGAGCATCGGCCTGCGGACTGGGAGGTCCCGGGTTCGATTCCGGTCGGGGGCATGTGCCTGGGTTTCGGGCATGTCCCCAGTGAGGAGATGTGCAGGAGGCAGCTGATCGATGATTCTCTCTCATCGATGTTTCTGACTCTCTCTCTCTCTCCCTTCCTCTCTGTAAAAAATCAATAAAAAAAAAAAAATTTATCTTTGGATTTGGGTCTCTTATTACATATTCTATTCCATTAATTTCTCTATTGGGCACGGCCAGTGTGGCTCAGTGGTTGAGCATCAACCTATAACCAAGAGGTTCAATTAACATTTTAAATCACTTGTGTTTTCCATAAGTGTTTACTACCTTTGGTGTGGTTTGTAACACTTCTAAAACACAGGAATCTGAGTTATGTCAATGTAATCATCACAGTCATTTTCCCTGAGATTCTAGCCTTTCATTGTGGGCTGAGGACAGAGACTGCCTCCATCAGAATGCAGGTCCCAAGGTTATGAGTTCACATCAAGAAAACATGTTCATGTTGAGCGGCACAGGGAACAGCTCACCCTGCATTTTCAGTAGCATGTGCGTGGGTCCTACCTGGAGTCGGTGCTCTGTGTCCACAGACAGAGATAACTTACTCCTCCTCCGAAGCTGTGGTGGGCAAGACTCAGATTCCAAGGACCCAGTCTGTGCACCCAGATAAGCAGAGAAGTGTCTTGTCCAAGCCAGCACACACAGGGTGGTCACAGGAAATGAACAACAGCAAGGAGGTTTCATTCCTTTTATTTCTACACCCTTTAAATCATCCCTCACACATTAGATGTTACAAATGGATTTAGTAGAAACAAGGAGTCAAGCTCACTCTTTTCTGAACTAACTGACACAAATAGGGAAGGAAAGAATGACTTTAATTCATAAAAGATCATTAGCAAAAGGCCTAACAAAAGCTAAACAATCATTAATTTCCACTTTAATTAGTAGTGACTTTTATGACAATCAGCTATCCATGTTTCTTGCTGGAGTCCCTGAACGTCACTGATCCCTGGCTGAGGGATACACGGATGACCCGGGTGGCACTTGGACATTTCACAGAAAAACGGAAAAGAACTGTAAGAACGGGAAGGCAGCAATTTGCAGCCAATAGTCTCAAGCTTCCTAGTTACCAAAAGCATAGACAATTTTAGGCTAGAAAAATAAGTCAATTTTATAAATTTAGGCTTTCCGATCGAAAAGTGCCCTTTCGCAGGTACAGGGACACTGACCGAGTCCCTACCAACCTCACTGCGTGTGACAAGAACGGCATGCCCTACAGTTACTGATGAGCCGGGACCGGGACTCCCGAAGCAGCCACAGGCATGTCCTCAGCTGCTGGCCAGGGACTGGTGGATCGGGGGCTGGAAGCAGCGCACGTGCTCCACGGGCGTGCTCTCTCCATCGCCCGACTTCAGGTACTTGTCCAACACGGTGATGATCTCGTCATTAAGAATCTGGAACTTGCGGATTCTCTCCACCATCTTCTTCAAAGGCTGCCACAGGGAAAATGAGATAGATACGTAGACAAATAGATAATGTCTGAGTGTTTTCTAGAATTCAATGACAAACATTTCAGAAAATGAAAACGATAGAAAGATCTAAAGAGCAGCCGAAAGGCACTCTGACGACCACAAAGGAAGCCAGGAGACCAGGCAGTAGGCCAGGGGCCTGATCGCGGGTCCCGTGAGGCTCCACATTAACACACAGATCTAAGAACCCTGAAGAGGATAAAAATGGGAGACTTGGTATTGTAACTGTCAGACTGCCTGACTCACCAATTTCATTACGATTCATTTTGAGAATGAAAGGGAAGCTTCACTCGGCGGCACCTTACGTGCTGGGATGGAAAACGTCCCCCGAGAAAGAAGTTGTCATAGACTGAAAGCATGCTTTACTATGAAACTTCACCGTAGGACACAAGGCTTTTGTCCACGTACCACGTTTTTGATAATCTCGTCTTTGCCATCATGTTTCTGGACTTTCAGCAGATGGTAGCAGAAATCCAGGACAGCAAAGCGCCGCTGCTGCCCAAGGAGAACGATGATCATGCAGCCGGCCCAGTGCAGTCCGTCGCCAAAGCACTGCCTGCAAACAAGAAGCTGTCAGCACCTGGCCAGTGTGGCTCAGTGATTGAGCATCGACCTGTGAACCAGGAGGTCAGGGTTCAATTCCCGGTCAGGGCACATGCCAGGATTTCGGGCTTGGTCCCCACTGAGGAGTGTCCAGGAGGCAGCTGATCAACAATTCTCTCTCATTACTGATGTTTCTCTCTCTCTCAATTTCCCTTCCCCTCTCTCTAAAATGAATGGAAAAATATCAAGTGAGGATTAAAAAACAAGAAGCCATGAGCAGAATGGGCGACCAATGAAAGTCTTTCCTGCATCCGTCTCTGTCTCTAGACGTCCACGACCCAGCCATCTGCTGGGAAAACTGGGCAGCTGGTGGCGTGTCCCTGTTCCTGGTGAAGACCCCTTTGGGTTCCTCTGGACCCCGTTTCCTAACCTGTTTTTAGATCACACACCCTCCTTGAAGGATTTCATGAGGCAGGGGCCCTCGCTGGAGGCATGCACACCCACGTGCCTAAGTTTCCTGGGTCGACTCCCAGAGGCTGAGCCCCGAGTCACGCGAGAACTGCACTTCAGTAGCTTTAAAGCAGCTCAGCACCCACCTCCCTGTGCCCGGAGCACACACTTACTCGACCGTGAACTCGTGCGTGCCCACAGGGATGCAGTACACAAACTGCATGGCGCTCCACAGTCTGTGGAACTCGACACACTCGTCCACGTGCATGACCCCGTTGCTGGGCAGAGGCCCGCGCCAGATGGGGTCGTCCAGGAAGGTCCGGATCCGCGTCAGGATGACCTCGAACATGGACAGGCCGCAGCAGAGACGCTCCTTGGTCAGCAGGTCCCCCTCTCTCGCTATGGCAATTTGCTGCGGGAAGGAAGGCACGTGATGGGGCCTCACGGGAGGTCAAGGGCTGAACCAACAAACCCTGTTTTCTTTCTGACTTAATGGAAAATGATCTTCACTTGCAGAAGCATCAAACCAAATAAAGGTCAGGTATTCCCTACGTCTTACACGATTCAATGGGGTTCACGGCCGAGGACAGAGCGATGGTGCCTGCAGAGAACTGCGGCAATGTGTGCAGACACTTCCATCGTCACCACACGGGGCAGGTCTAGGAGCAGCTAATGGGCACAGGCCCGGGACACTGCGTCACAGCCGACAAGTCACAGGAAAGCCCCACAACAAAGCATCATCTGGTCCAAAAGGGTGACGTGCCCAGGCTGAGGACCATGGAGCTCTACCCGGATACCTGGCCTCCTGTCTGACCCCCCCTGTTCTTAAACACCCGGGACCAAGCCTTCTTCGTGAGGGATGGACACCGGGAGCAGGCGACACCTCTGCAGACGGCTCACCTGCCAGGGGGTGTTCTACGCACGTTCAAGGGAAGCAGCCGATTCACAATTTGAAATGCCCTGTGACCAGGTCCCGTTACGAACGCCCCCTGGAGACCCTGGGGCCGAGTGGACCCGTCCAACATCCTGATGCCTCCTGGTCTGGGCTCCCCCAGAGCCTGCACACCCAGCCTCATCCAGGCCCGACGTGGACGCCCTATGAACAGCGACGGCCGACCCAGGTTACCTGAGGGGTCCCCAGTCTCTCAATCAGAGGGACGAGGTGCAGGGGGGCGTACTTGGATTCCAGTCGCTTCATTTTGGCATCGAGTCTCTCTCCCTCTGCAGTGGAAAAAATTAGCGTACACTCTGTCTCTTGTGTGAATGATCACAGCAGTTACAGTTCATATAAGAAAACAAAGGGAAGGCTGTGGAAGTAACATGGTCCGTGCAGATTATCGTTGAAAATTCATGTGCAGAACTGACTCCTTTGATGTTTTAACTCAAAGTGACAGGAATGACTTTCTGTTCAACCTTCACTTTTGAAAATTTACTGAAAATATAATCAGAAGCGAAGCACAGCAGAGTGACGTCCAGTCCCTCTGTGTCCACACCCTGCACCCAGCCCATCTACTGAGAAGCACGTGAAGAGAGCACATCGCAGGGAGCCCCGAAGGTTTCCGCTTTCCCGTTTATTTAACCTCCTAGACACCGGCTCCGCCGGGGGGCGCGGGCTCACCTTTCACGTGGACCCTCGGCAGGATGTTCTGGAAGGGGGCTGCGTGCAGCAGGTCGCACACTTCCTCTAGAGACTGGGACGGAGCAGAAGGTGGCGTTAGGGAGTCAGTTCAAGGGGGACGGACAGAGCCATC